GAAGGGAAGGGAAGGGAAGGGAAGGGAAGGGAAGGGAGGACATGATTGGGAACACTGAAGGAAGAACCTCCAATGAAGTATTTTCTGTGCTGAAATGATGTTTAAACAATTCTTGCTTCCAGTTAGAGACTGTTATTGTTGCATTAAGCTGTCTCATTCATGGAATAGTGCTTGGCAGGGCTGCAGAATCTCTCTCTGCCCAAGGGTCAAATTCCATTTTGGAGAAGATTACGAGGGCCACATTCTGGGGTCAAGCATAACAAAAACACAGCATATTTAGCTTAAATCTTTCATGGCCACTCACTAAGCCTTAGGAGAAACATTTGAGCCTTTTGGAATAGAGGAAACTGCACAAAAACTTGGAAAAATCCAAATGGTTGGGGAAAGGGGATATGTCCGGGGGAAGGGGATACATTTAGGATGTAGGATAGGGCAGAGAAGAGCTCTGCTAATGGGGCAGCACACCTGCTTTTAAGAGCCCATGGAAATCTCCAGTGGCACTTCCAAGTGTTTTGGCTGACAGCTCTCATCAGCACCAGCCAGTATAGCTCATGGTGCCGGAGTATGCGAGTTGTAGGCCAAAGCATATGGAAGGCTACACACTGTCCACCTTTGGCAGTAGAAGTACTGTTTGGTGGTAGGACCTAAGCCAGGGTTTTCTTGGGGGAGGGAGTGTAGCTTATCAACTGAATCCAAAGCTCCTTGATCTTCCAATGGATCTTTGGATCATCCCTCAGCCTATGCCAGCTCTAGCAGTCTTTTTGTATGACTGAAATTTTAAAAAATTAAAAATGATTGCCAAAAAAAAAAAAAAGCACACATGTGCTACTCCACCCTGAGCAGGGCAGGCCCACCTCAAAATGCCTCCCTGCCATGCAAACACACATGATTGCACTGTGAGTTATGATGATGCTTTTTCAAGCAGTATCATAACTGGATGGGGATATATCAAATGTTTGTTTCATTTTTTCCAAATGTTTTGAGGGCTTTTTCCCCTCAGGGAAGACCCTCCCTTTACTTTTACCCAGGATTTCAGTGTTTCTGGAAACCTGACAACTCGGATGTCAGTAAAATAGAAAGTTAGAAGGCGAGATGCTGCCATCCCTAAGAAGAAAAAGCAAAGAGGTGAATTGTGAAAGGCAACCATGGAGTTAAGTCCTCAAGGGCAAAGAAATTTGGAACCTGGAATCTAGATAAGTGGATCATTGGCATTAATAAGTACTGCAACTAGTTTCTGGTTAATGGTCTGTTCTGACTCTCAGGAATGTGTGAGAATCTGGGGAGTGAAAATCTAGTGGATTTTCCCTACTCAGGCC